GATGCAAGCCTGTTGCAAAAGGGCTTAGGATTTAGGATCTGGGGCCAAGGATCCAGAACCTCGCCAAAACGTATTTTGCCAACACCGACATACCCATGAGATTTCAAGTAGGGGTTTTCTCCACAGACTCACAATGTCATGGAATCTTGGCCCGGATAGGTTCTCTGGCTCAGCTTCGGGTATTGGGTTCGGGTGGAGTTGTTTACTGTAGCTCGTTCATGTTGCAGAGCTGAAGGTTTAAGTTTGGTCTGCGACTCAGTAGGCGTCGTCTCAAAATGGATAATCCCAGAATTAGGGGTACCTTTTTTGGGGGTCCCATTAATCTATAAGGGTTATAGTATTTTCGGGCCCATATTGGGTCCCTTTATTTTGGGAAACTACATTATTGTCGCAGCAAGTGGGCAAGAGCTTGACGCCTTCTTGTTGTCTGGGAGTTGGGATCTGGACCTGGGACTCCTTGCCTCCATCAAGAGAATTTGGAATGGACAAGTTGTTTGCTTGGAAACTCTAAGGGTTGAGCATTGCTGTGTTTTTTTTTGTCACTTCGTTCCCATGCTTGGCTGCTGTTCTGTTCCAATGTCTGATATTGCTTGAGGAGTTCTCTCTATTCTGTCAAATCACTCAGCCACAGTATTCTGGGCCGCCCCTTACGTGGAACAATGTCCACAATCGTGGAACAATGTCCACAATGTGCTGCAAGAAGAAAACAATTCTTGCTCTACAGGTTATTCTCGCGAGGCTTTGAAGGCTGAATGTGTTCGCCTGTTACGAGATTTGGACAGGCGCGCGCGATCGGGGTGTCTCACTACTGCCGTCGTCAGCTCGATGATGTGCTGAAGGCAGCAAGCAAAGAGTGGAGGGCTGCACGTTTTGATTCATGCATGGTCTGAAGTTTGATGTGTTCACCTTCATCTGCTCAACTGCTTATGGTATCTTATGGTTTTGGGGGATGAGGCTTTATTGAAGAAAGAACATCAGGGCTGGCTGAGTCTAGAACTAGAGCGTGAGTCCACCTCATCCCTTTGAGCGCCGTTGTGGGCGGAAGTCTGAAGTTTGAGATGAGACTCCCCCAGGCAAAGCCGCAAACATATTGAAATCGGCCAGAGGGGCAGACGCGATATGCATGAGCCCTTACCAGTTGTGCACAGAGACAGCGAGATTCATTTCCGACTCGCTGGGCGGAACATTCATCAGCTTGAGTCATGCTTCTGCCGCTCTCTCTGCGATGATTTCAAAGCTTTGGTGATGGAAGCTGCGTGCCCTGAAGGTGGCGACAGTCCCTGTGGCGGTGAACCAGGCTGCAGGGTTTCTTTGGAGACCAGAAAGCAGTTGGGAGCTTGTCAAAGTAATGCGCGATTCCCCAAAACGCTTTATAATGTTTAAGTAATTCCTTTTTATCCCTGGGGTCCCCGAAGGTACCCGTCTTGAGAATTCTTTAGTTAATCAAGATCTGATCTTCCTGCTCTGCGATATACAGGCCCCCTTCCTCATTTATTACGAGCTGTGTGTCATTTCAGTGAGCCTGGAGTCAAACTCACTTTGTTCGGAGACAGCACTTGCCTAGGCATGGGCATTGGGATTTGCCAAGAAGTACTCGGCTTTTCTCTCGCGTGGGTTGGCCTTTCTCCCTGACGCCTGTACCAAGACACACTACCAGCACACTACCCCGTCCTGGAGTCCTGATGTTGATATTTGGACCAGCGATCTGGAGAAAACAGTGTCAATCCTTGCCATAAATCGAAAATTTTCGCCATGCGTCGCGTAGCCACGGTGCCGTACCAGACGCAAGAAGCTCATGCGATGCTCCTATCGCATCAGTAACATGCTGGAGCAGGATAGGTAGAAGTTGCTCATCATGTTGATGGAGGGCTTGATAACACCCCTAACATGAGCGTTACTGTAGAGGCCTTAGACGCGGACCCCTGTTTTCAGAATTCCCAGAGATTTCAATGCAGGTGCAATATCACGTGGGCATGGGCACTGCCCCATCAACCTCCACGGACGACCGGGACTACATGAGGGCCAAGGGCGTGCCAGGGCAAGCAGCCCTGTCAACATCAACTAATTAAAATATTCGAAGCAAGCACTGCATCGGGTATGGGTTTTCAGCACTTCCATGTGAGACGTTCCTGCCAGAGTCGATCTCAAGGGGCAATGTGAGGTAAAGCAGACTGCTGACTGATCTTCAAGGTCTGCCAGACGTGGCGTTCTTGACCAACCCATGTAAATATCATGCATTCTATATGCGGCTTCAATCTGCCAACCAACTCAAAGAAACAACGCCCAAACAATCATGACTACGACTTCATATGCCGTGTGGAATCCGGTGGTGAGGTGCTCTACCAGTCATTTTCGCCCCTCTGCGGCCCCTGCGACGCTCCTGACAACACGGAGCGGGTTGAGTTTGGGCCATGTATAGGTTTCAGGTTATCAGAAGCATATGGGGGCATCTACCGAAAGCGCTGGCATGATGGTGGCGCGTTAAATTATCAGACTTCACAATCATGCACTGTTTTCGATACATGGTGCTGTTGCAGTTCAGGTTTTGAAGGGATACCGCGTGCCTTTGGTTAGAATATGTGTGCGACTAGGCTCCATGTGTGCTTGTGATGGCATTGAGCAAGGCTTGGGCATTTAGTGGAGGCCTTGGCGTGTGACACTCAACCTCTAGCAGTCGACTTCCAGATGCTCTTTTCTTTTCCAGCGGGTTCGCATTCCCTAGGTGCCTTCTTGCTTGATACAAGCATACCCTCAAAGGATGTGCGTTGAGGAGCTTGCAGCAGAACGCCAGTTAAGCGTCCTCGCAGGACATAACTGGCACCACCACACCAATTAGCTGGCAAACGAAGCTTCGTTTGTCCACAAGATGCTGAAAAGCGACGGTGACCTCAGCTCCAGTGTGCACAACCAACTTGTGAAACGTAGCCAGTACCTAGTACCTGGTGCAGCATTGCTTTAATTTCTACAGAATTGTTGATGTAAGTAGTCAGTGTCGCAACAGCTCGCGAGGTAGGTAATGACAGCATTACATTCGGTTTCCATGTGGGTGTGCGCCCACCTACGTGTTCGCTGATTGTGACAGCATATCAAGGACACGCAAGCTGAGACACACAAATTGAGAACCCCCCCCCCACATACTGGGTGTAGTTCTTTGGCTTCTTTGCAAAAAAAATATGTGATTCGCGCATTTCTTATGTGGACTTATGCTTGCCGTACATTCCCAGACAGCATCGACTACTCGTGTCAACTGATGCCTTGGCACAACTCTCGCAATAGACTCCCAAGTACTACAATCTTTGCCATGGTGTCCCCAAAAAGGGGCTCCTGCTTTTTGAGACTCTTGACCTGGTTTCATATGTAGGGATTTAGCCCTCCTGAAGTAAATAGAACATGGCCTTGGGTACATTATAATGCGATCCCCATATACCCCATATTCTGTCTACTTGAGGGGGGCCCTACAGGAGTTGCTGAATGGCACCCTCGTGGCCAAGATCGGCGCACGCTACAACAAAACCGGACCCCAGGCCCTAAGGACCTTCCTTCATTTGGGTTGTTCTCAAAATTATGGGGCCCTTTTGAATATAGATTATATATTACGGCACCTAATATTCAGGGGTAGAAAAAAGGACCCTACTTTCAAAAACCATTCATGTGTTTTGCTTTAGAGGGTTCAGTCTGGTGGTGAGAGTAGCAGGAATAGTATTTGCAGATATTTAGAGTAGATAATTATAATGGACTTATTTGAGTTATAGGCGTATAGTGCTAGTAATAGCTGTTGCCAATAGAAATGGGCGTAGGAGGTAGTGTATGGGCATTAGAGGGGGCGTGCTGGATATCAGGGTGAGACCACACGAAGACGAAGCACATCCGACAGAGCCTATTTGCAGCAACGGCAGATACCGTCCCACCCTGGCAATCCAGGAATATAAATGATTCCTGCTCTGGGTCCTCAAGTCTGAAATGGTACCTGCTTTGGGCCGTTTGGATTCCTGATGGTACTTTGGTTCCAAGAGTTGCCGTCACAGGAGTATGCCAGTGAATCATGAGATCACCCTTATACATTTCCGTTTCGTCCAGATACGCAGTTACTGTGTCTGCTCCTACGAACGGCAAGTGGGAACACATATGGAAATGTTCGTGCCTATTCCAAGTGGGTAGCGCTTGTTGGCCATGTGAATTTAGCGGATATGATAGCAATGAAGCTGCAAGAATGTCCGCGTAATTTGAAAACTAACTGACGTCGTTTGGTGTAGCCTGACTTAGGCATGTCTGTGTAGGCTGTCTTATCTGCGTAATTTGACTGTTTCAGAAGTCCGCGCAGGTAAATAGTGTGAGTGCGCTGGCGTAGTCCGCGTGGGCCATCCTTGTGAACCTTAGAAGTGTGAGTTGAGACGACAACAATGCCCAAGTGCTTTGACATGCACGCCTACGCTGAAACGTCAATATTTCGTTCAGAATCCTGTGAGATGTTTTGCTACTGGGGACGGTCACTACCCCGCATCTCTACGCTCTTCATGCCTCCACCGAAGTTCATTTGCAGGGTCTGCTGACACGCAGCATCTGCAGGTCGCACTGCGCTGGCTCGTTCAGCAGGGCATCCCAGAATCTCAGCTCAAGATGTTTGATCTTGTGCTGTGGTGGGACTGCTTACAGCTTTAGGAGTTCGCCGCTTGCCCACTGGCCCAGCCTTCTAGGCTGCCAAATAACGTGTGTGTGTGTGTGTGTGTGTGTGTGTGTGTGTGTGTGTGTGGGTGTGTGTGTGTGGGTGTGTGTGTGTGTGTGTGGGGGACCTCCGAGATTCCAAGGAGTGTGCTTGAGGACGCTCAGGCATGTACCTGCTGTGGGAGTATCTGGGCAGTTGCGTCTGCAGCTGATATCCCAATAGTGCTGTGCTGGCATGGCACCATCGCCGGTAGCGGCATTTCCAAAAAACTGTTGCTCT